CCATATTTCAGCATCTTCGTCGCTTATAAGTTGATCCCATCCATTATTCTTTTTCCACAGATTTTGCAGAAACAATTTAAATCGGATCATTATAGGGACGAGGAATGGCGTAAATTTGGAAATAAGCCGAAATTCCATGTTAAGATTTCACTCACAAAATATCCACCAATCAGCAAGCAGTCAACCGAACAAATGATCTCATCAAAAATAAAATAAAATGTTATCCGGAATTGAATAAATTATCTCTTCTGAAATCAGTTATTAAAGTAAACTTCTCATCAGTCCATTGCAGAGGAACGGGTGAACAGCTAACTTATTGGTAAGGCTTGGCTTAGGTATTGGTATGGATCCCTTGAATAAATTCCTGCAATTTACGTGATGTTTCGGAAAAAACTAATTTTTCCCGTATGTCTTATCAGTAACTTCGACTAATGACAATTTTGTAGTTTTAGAAAATTACTATTTCATTATCCCGTAACTGACCCGTTCGAAAGCGTGTAGTTAAAATTTTAAAAGGTTTCTTCGTCCAATTCAAAAAATGTTCGGTCGTCCGGCCGGCCAACAGAATAATTCATAATTGAAGAATGTTCGGAACATCCCTTATTTTCAACTCTTTTTTGGTATTTTGATTCAATTAGTTTCAATTTTTTTGCATTAGCCTTTTCGATGTTATAGAGAGTTACTCGGGAAATGCTGTATTATTCATTTCAGGAAGAGATGGAAGCATTCGAGGAGCTTAAGGATGATCTGCTACGCATCCATGCCACGATTAAGGTATTCACAGAGCAGATACGTGTTGAGGCGAAGACTCGATGTGTTCTAATTAATGATACGCTTGAAAAGCTCAATGTCAAATACTTTGAGACATTGGAGCTTTTCAGCAAAATTGAGAAATTGAAATAGGGAATCAGTAACGGATCCATTTTTCCTTATTTGAAATTTCTGTGCGGTTTCAAAATTTTTGTATATCACAGGAAGATAGTAAAATATCTTTATAAAATATGTCCCTTGCAAACTCAGCAAATTACTCAATTAGTCTTTTCAAGCAAAAAATTCGAATCCATTATTTCATTTTTTAGTGTCATACGGATATAAAATTTTGATTTCAATATTGTAAAATATATGCAAATTTGACTGCGGCAACTCATTTTGCATACCCAACAATTGTTTATACACTCTTTAAACTGAGAAAAAATGTTAACTGATATTAATGACTGATTATTTTATTGATTGTTGAATATTTTGCAATTATATATCAATCATTCGTAGTATGAATTTTTATTCAGACTCACCAACTTTTTCATTTAATTTGAAACATTAGAAATTGCAAATTAATGAAAATGTGAGCAATTTTTACTTCAAACGAACTACATTAATTAAAACAATAAATTAATTAGAGGAATGTGTAAATGAAATGATTTATTAGACAGTATTACGGGCAATACCTTTTGAAAACCTGTGATCTTTCTGATAAAATCAAAAGATTCCTTCCTTAATGAGAGAGTGATAAACTTTCGTATCAGTGAATTGTTATTTTTCCTCACAAACTTTTGAAAAGGTTCTGAAATCACGAATTAAGTCAGAATTCCAGAATGAGCTCGAATCATTTTTATGTTTTTTTTTGTCGAGCTATAATGTTTTTTAAATTCTTCAGATTACAATGTTTGTTATGCCTTGTTCAGATAGGATAGAAAATTTGTTCAGTGGTTTCTCTGTTTTTTCTCCATATGAAATGAAATGTTGAAGAATTAAAACTTCCAACAATCAGTTGTA